GGGCTGTCGGCTGCGTGCGGAGCCGACCTGCAACCGCTCTCATGCTTCCTTCTTGTCTGCAGGCTGGCTCAGGTGCTCCGATCACCTGCTGCTTGCGGGAACAGGAAAGCAGCAACTGAAGATCGAGGGGGACTTTTGGTTTACTCAGATGACAAGAGACAATTTTGGTTCCCCCAAAGCCAAGGAAACAAAGCTGTCAGGCTTTAATGGTAGCTTGTCTCCCTCCTGCAGCATGTTTATGGGCAAACAAGCTGCAGATCAGACCAGGCAAGCAGCAGCAGGTGAGGCCAAATAACAATAATTCATAATTAATGGCGAATGTGGCTATGTTTATTCTTGTTGTATTGGGGCAACGCTGTCTAATGGATGAAGCACTGTTACAGGACTCAAGAGACTGGCTCAGTTTCCAGCGCTGCATGATGCCGGGCCAGCCACCCATTCTTTCTCCCTTTGCACTCAATGTGGCCACTGCTGAGGGTGCCAGCTCTCTGTGTCACGGGTGACCCTCTCCCACCCCTCCATATGCCAAATCCAATGGGGTTCTGGCCTCAGCTGAGGCCTCAAGGCAGAAGAACGATGCCAAATCCATGTTCTGTTACGGTGACCGGTGCCTGCACGGTTTGCTTGTGGCACGGAGCAGGGCTCACCTGGCTGCTCTGGGTTACAGCTTTTGAGGGTTTGCTTCTGATAGTAGCATCATTCCCCAAAATGCCAGTAAGTGTTTCAGAAGCGTTGTGGTGTCTCCATGCATCAGCATCCATCTGTGCCTTCTCACCACCCTGCCCTGCACCTCCCCGCACGCTGCAGTGTCGCACCGGAGCTCTGTCGCACTGATCTCCAGCCCAGTTTTCCATAGCTCTGGTGTTAACTCACACTGGTACCAGCTGGGTTTGCCTCTTCCCCAATGCCATGTGTCATGGGCATGTGTGCTGAACCATGGTTCCCCTCCCTCCTGAACATCTATCCATCCTTGTGTGTATGCGGGTCCCCAGCCACGCATGCAGCTTGCATGCACACCACCGCATGATTTCAGGCATGCACAAATATGCCAGTACATAGATTATGCAGAGCTCGTTGTGACCAGACAAAGTATATGATACTACAAGCAACATCTGCTCTCCAGGGGTGCCTGGTTTGGGGTGGCCCTTGCTGCAGCAGAACCCACACCCGCTGGGTACCTGCACCTGAAGCAACACACGCCTTGGCAGCAATGCATGGATGTTTGTGAAACACACTCTGACTTTTTATTTTAAGGGTGTCCTCTAGAGACAAATATAACCTGTTCTGGGAGTGTGGAAGAAAGCTTTGAAGTTGCTGCTTCCTGGAAATACAGCTCAGTTTTCCTACGTCTCATGGTGATGTTGCTGTATTTGTTCTTCCCTGAACATCTCTCCACCAGCTACAGTCATGGCAATCGCCAGCGCCTCGGCTCCTGACTCTAGCAGGGCACTGGTGCATCTTGCCCTTCATCCCCCTGACTCTGTGAAAGTTCCATGCTGAGAGGAAACTTAACGCACTGTAGCTCCTTCCCATTCATCTTTCAGTCTTAAAACATTACCCATTTTTATGTAACATGTGCTGCCTTTTTATTGCCACGCTAACAAGTTGTTGAGCTGTGTTTACAATATGCTGATTGTAAGCACCCCTTAATAGGCCCAGTCCATGTACCCTCCCCAATTAATTTTCGGGTTTTCTGTTTCATTTTGGGCATGTGTATTTCCTTTATAAACCCTGCATCTCCCCTGGTATGCGTTGCTGCGTTACTTGCAGGAACCCTTTGAATGTGCATTGTGGAACAGTGATTAGCAAGGAACCACAAGGAATGCCAGGGCTGAAATGATCTTTGGGTTCTTTCAAAACCTGTTTTTTTTTTCCAGAGTTAAATTGGTTATTAATTTCAGAAAATAGAGGCCGAACAGATCTGGCACAAGTTTCAGCCACAGTTTTAACCTATAAACGTTTGTTGCGTCTAAGAACGTTTCTTACTGGAATGACACATGTGAAAACCGTGCCTGATGCGCTGCTGCAGCCACCATTGCCTGTCCAACCTCTTGTGTTGACTGACTTTTGCCCATTAAGTAAAAGGAAGTCTGTGCTGGATTAATTTGGTTTGATCTTCCCAAGCTTTCTTTAAGCCAAGTGTGATGAAAGTTTAGGGCCGTGGCTTGTTGTGGGGTTAATCCCAAAGCTGAAGCCAAAGAAACTCTTTCCCCTGGTTCCTGTGGGCTCACGTTGACAAGCACAGCCCTTGGCCACCCCAGCATCTCCTGGGTTTTCTGCAGGGTGTGAAGCTGGTGGCTCAATCCCATCCAGTGGGATGCAGCCCTGTACCTGTGCAGAGCTGGGCTGTAGCTGCGACCCCATCCCAAAGCCAGGACAGCAACAGCACCCAGCGCTTCTCCATCTCATCCCACCACCCTGAGGAGACAGGGAGGGGAAGGTGGTCACAGGTCCAGACAGCGATGCTGTGGACAGTCCTTAGCATTCCAAGAGACCAGCCCAAAGCCTTGGGTTTAAGTTCAGGGAGACGTGGGAAAGCAGAGTCAAGGCTGCTTCCATTATTCCTTTTTTCATTTCATTTAGTTTCATCACCCCACCTCTCTTCTTTTGTTGGGGAAAGCAAGGAACTAACTGAGATATCCCAGCCAGCGGCACTGATGTCTGTGGATGGTGCTGGGCATTAGAAAGCTGCCATTAGAGTCACCAAGCAGCTTCCCTGGCTCTGGGGTCTCTCAGCCATGGTCTCTTCTCTCTCCCTTCCTTTTCTCCCAGTGCCCATCCCCTCGAAGGCCAATGGCACCACCATTTCCACCCTGTCCATGAACAAAGACGGCCTGATCGGAGGGGTGACGAATCCCAACGAGGTCTTCTGCTCCGTGCCCGGCCGCCTCTCCCTTCTCAGCTCCACCTCCAAGTACAAGGTGACCGTCGGGGAGGTGCAGAGAAGGCTCTCACCCCCCGAGTGTCTCAACGCCTCTCTCCTCGGAGGAGTCCTCCGCAGGTAAGCTCCAAGAGGCAGCCCAAGCAAGCTTTGTGTTCAGCACCTGATCACATCAACAGAGGCGAGAGATTCTGGTGTGTGGTGTGCTGGGCAATAGCATTTTTGTTGCCTTTCTTCTTTCCTTTCAAACCTAAAAGCTTAAACTGGGATTAGGTGTAGTTATTTTAATATTAATTAGATTATAATACCTCCTACTCTTGTTTTCTCTTTCCAGAGCAAAGTCAAAAAACGGGGGTCGGTGTTTAAGGGAAAGGTTAGAGAAAATTGGACTAAATCTGCCTGCAGGAAGGCGCAAAGCTGCCAACGTCACCCTGCTGACATCCCTCGTGGAAGGTAAGAGTTGCTGTCCCCTTCTGTGGAGCCTGGGAGTGCCGAAACCTCACTACCCTTCATTTGCAGCTTGCCAAAAATGAGAACACTTAAATTATGCAGCGGTCACCACTGACCAAGACTGGAAATATTCCATGGAAGTCTCCATGCTGATCCAAGCAAGTCTGTCTCCCGAAACTCAGACATTTCTGTCGGAGCAGTCAGAGCAGTCAGCTCTAATAACGCTTAGTCAGGTTCACAGAAACCAGATGGAGCCAGGCTGAGAGAGCTGGGCTGGGGCAGCTGGAGAGGAGAAGGCTCCTGAAGGGGAGACCTTAGAGCAGCTCCAGTGCCTAAAGGGGCTCCAGGAAACCTGGAGAGGGGCTTTGGGCAAGGGATGTAGGGACAGGACAAGGGGAATGGCTTGAACCTGCCAGAGGGGAGACTGAGATGAGCTCTGAGGCAGAAGCTCTTCCCTGTGAGGGTGCTGAGGCGCTGGCACAGGGTGCCCAGAGAAGCTGTGGCTGCCCCATCCCTGGCAGTGTTCAAGGCCAGGTTGGACACAGGGGCTTGGAGCAACCTGCTCTAGTGGAAGGGGTCCCTGCCCATGGCAGGGGTTGGAGCTGGAGGAGCTTTAAGGTCCCTTCAACCCAAACCAGGCTGGGACTCTGTGATTCTAAATACAAAAAAACTTGAATAAAGCTTCCAAGAATTCGGCAGCTGCCCTGTGGCACCGTGCTCAGGTGCTGCTGACCGTGCTGTGCTGGGTGACAGCACCCTGCTCCCTGGGGCTCCATCACCACTCCGCACTGTGTGGGGTGCCCCTGCCTAAAGCCCCTTCTTCATTTGCTCCCCTCCTACTTTTTGCACGATGGAAACGATGATGTTGCCACCGCATCTTGGGAGAAAAGCACATGGGATGCAGACAAATGCAATGACAGCTCTGACTCCCTTCGAGCTTTGGAATCCATTGTGTTTGCGCCCAGCGTGTTGGAGGCAGCTGCCTGCAGTTTCTGAATAGAAAATCATCTCCATTGTTGCCAGCAAATTAAATGACCCGCTTCATTAGGCGGAGGTTGTTACTGAGGGCAGTTGGTTCGTGCTGAATGAAAGGCTGATTTCCATTAAAAGAAAGGAAGGAAAGAAAGAAAGGAAGGAAGAAATGTACATTTGGATTTCAGGTGGCTGCTGATGTTTTGGTTCCTGCTTACCAGCCCATAGTAAATAAAAGAGTGGTGCCGTGTGTGCCTGATGGACAGAATTTCCTCCTGCACATAAGTGTAATGGTATGGGGAGACGGTGCTATTGCATTGTCATTACTCAGCACGCAGAAAGTGGCTTGTGCCCCTGTGCCCCAGGCACCCTCTTTCTTGGACACTGCCTGAGTCAGTTTGATTCGGTTTCTCCTCTCTGCTTCCCCACTGTTCATTTAACCAATACACTGTGTGGGGATTTGAGTGCTGATAATATACTGACCCACGGCCATTCATATAGATGGGGAAGGACGGGTACCAGGGATCCTGGGGAGCACCATGAGGGCTGCATGTAGAAACACAGCTTTCTTCGGGAACCCTTGTCCTCTCTTGGGCACCTGCTCCATGAGAGGAGCTCCAGCACACACCGAGGGCAGTGGCAGGGCTGTATTTCAGCCTCAGAAACACCCTCCTGCTCTCAGGAAGAGGTGAGGATTTGGAGCGGCTCCTGCAGCGCCTCTGTCTGCTGCAGCCTCCTGCCCCACAAGCCTCTTGTCCCTGGCCTTTGACTTGGTGTGTCTTTAACTACCCCTTTCAAACGCTGGTCTGCCTTGTGCCCTCCACAGAAACCTCTACCCCAGCATCCCAATGGCCTTTTAAACATTTGGCTGTGTAGCCACTCAGATGCACTCATGGAGCAAATAAACCTGGCTCCAGCCTTGGCTCCCACCATGAGGCCACACAGCCCTTTTTTCTGTCACAATAACTGTTTTTTTCAGCAGCTATTACTTTCAGATTGTTTTTTAACATCCAAACAACTGCAGCTCTGATCCTCTATAGCTTTACCTTATTTGCTCCTTTGGAGGAGGAGATGAAGTGGGAAGTGTTATCATGCTATAGGAAGAACAGACACTTTCCCCATAACAGGGAGCTCAGGCTGAGCTCTGGAAGCTGGGGGGAACGTGATGGGATCTAGGTTAATGCTATTAGGATGGATGGCCTAATACATATGAGCAGCAGGGGGGCAAGTCAAATTAGCTCTGCCTGCCCGACCGGGATTTCGGGTGTTGGGCATGATCAATTGCCATCAGCTCTGATTATTTCCATGGGGATGCCTGGAGATAGATCAATTCCATCAATGAGTGGGCATTTCCACGGGGTGATGGATACGCTGCCTGCATGTCCAGCCCGAGGGCCCCTGCTTACTGCAGGAGGATGTAAACCCCTTCCTTCTGCCCCTTTCTCACATCCCTGTGCTGTCTGGCAGTCACGGGGCTAAGGTCACTTTTTCACCCTCCAGCCCCTGTTTAAATCTCTGCTCTATTAGAGAGGCCAAGCAGGGAATTTTGGAAGAATTAGAGAGAGGAAGATGCCGCAGGGGAAGTGCCCATGTGAGAAACACCTCTGCTGTTCTTGCTTCTGGAGCAGGAGCCCAGCATCACACCTCATCCTGCTCTAACTCCAGCACCATCCTTTTTAAAAGTTAGTGAAGGAAGGTACCAGCTTCTGCTCGGAGCTGACGATAGTTCACTTGGAACCTTGTAGACTGTCTAACAGATGAGTATAAGAAATGCATGGAGGTGTCTGCACCAAGAGCCAAAGGTGCAGAAAGCTGTTAGGTGGCAACAGAAGAAATAAGCCCCATCAGTGGGATGGCTGAAGCTACTACAGAAAGTGCTCCCCTTCCACACAGGCACTGACACAGCTGTGGTCTGTCCTGCTCCTAGGTGAAGCTGTTCACCTGGCTCGGGATTTTGGGTACGTGTGTGAAACGGAGTTCCCAGCCAAGGCAGCAGCAGAGTACCTGTGCCGACAGCACTCGGACCCCACGGAGCTCCACACCAGGAAGAACATGCTGCTGGCTACCAAGTGAGTACAGATGGTGATGAGCCACCAGTGAGAGGTATCGGCAGCGCAGATGGGCAGCGTTACCCTCAAAAGCTTCCTCTTCCGCAGTGAAGAGATGGTCTCACATGCTGCACGTGGATCTGAGAGATGTGCAGCATGGACTGCACGGGCTTGCTCCTCCTGGGAGTGATTAACCTAACCCCGGGGGACATTCCATCACTGCCACATGTGCCCCTTCAAAGCAGGTTCACCAGCTCCAACTCTCCACCCAGGGGGTCTCCCCAGGCTGGAGCTGAACATCCCCAACAGGGAAGCAGATACTTGAGCAAGAAGCAGGAAAAGAGCCCCCGGACACAACCATATCCCTGCAGCACTTACAGTAACACAAACCTTTCTCTTCCAGGCAAATCTGTAAAGAGTTTGCAGACTTGATAGCCCAGGATCGCTCGCCGCTGGGGAACAGCCGCCCCTCGCTCATCCTCGAGCCCGGTGTCCAGAGCTGTTTGACTCATTTCAGCTTGATAACCCACGGCTTTGGGGGCCCGGCCATCTGCGCAGCGCTCACAGCCTTCCAGAACTACCTGGTGGAGTCCCTCAAGGGGCTGGACAAGATATTCATGAACAGCACAGGGAATGGGCACACGGCCGGAGACTCCAAAGCGTCAGAAAAGGAAGTGAAGCATCGGAAATAACGTGTTGTCTCCATCCCTCTCCCCAGCAGGAGCTTTCCGTGGTTGTGATAGATAGCACTGGGGGGGGGGGCAAGATGATCCAGTGCACTGTTTTCTGAACTGCTACGTCTGAACGTGGGAGGAAACTTGTAAAGCAAACAAAGAAAAGACAAAAAGAAGAAGATTTAAAGAATTTAAGGTGATAACAGCTCTACGGGACATGGTGAGATTGGGAAGATCAGCCAGGTTGATGGCTTTCGCCTTTGTTGGTTTTAAATTGTGGATGCAGGAAGCCAAGTCATGTGCAATTTCGTTTTGTTTTGTTTTTTTTAAACCCATAGTGAAATGCTGGGGGAATTTCTTCCAACTGAAAAACTAAGAAAGAGCAAAAGCCTCATCAATGCAAGAACCAGAGGCAGGAGCAGCAGAGGGCAGGGAGTTGGATCACTGGCTGTACCCGGATTTATCAGCTGGTTTTGACAGGCAAACACACAGGAAACCACCTTATTTTCCCCACCTACAGCCCAGTCCTAAAGCCAGGCCAAGAGAAAATTGCCAGTACAACTGCTTTGGATTTGAAGCAGTTTCAGACGTCGTTTACAGTTTGCAGACTGAGACTCAAGGTGGATTTTCCCCTGGGCTGTACCAGAGGGGAGGAACAACCGCACACCCAATGGGTCCCAGGGTAGGACCCCACTGGGGAGAGCCTTCCCAATGGCCACAGTCATAGCTGGGGGTAAAGCAGGTGAAGTTAAACCCAGGACTAATTGAAACTCCACAACCTACAGAAAACAGCACACACGTTTCTAAAATTAATAATAATAATAATTAATAAAGCACAAGGAGCAGAACTTGAACCAGGCCAAACTGAACTGTTCTAAATCTGTATATATTTATTTATGTGTAATTAAAATCTGAAAGTTTTAAAATGTCCAGTGCAAGTTATTTATATCAAATTGAGTTGGGTTTTTTTTTTTGTTTTGCCTTTTTTGTTTTGGGGAATTTTATTTTTTTTTTTAAAGATGAAAATCTTTGGATTTTCAGCCATTAGAAATGGGAATGAAGTTTTGGATACACAAAACTGTAGCATGGGCAAGATAGGCTGTGATAATAATGACTATAGAAGTTCTGCAGGATTTTGTACTTGCTGTTGTTTCTCTTAATGCTGCAATAGATGTACAACACCACAATGTCATTCTCATTATCTTAATAAACCTCTTTTTATTTGAAGAAAGCACCTCCATCGTCTTTGTGAACAAGGAGCCTTCTGCCTCTGTGGTTGTATCTTGAAATATTATATAGATTTAAGAAACAACCTCCTCCGTGGCTGATGTTTGACTGATCTGTGCAGTCACAGAGAATGAATGAGAGGAGCTGGCGTGAGCGCCCTCATCTCGCCAGCCGGCACAGCCAAGCCAGCCGGCGCCTCTGGTGATGCTGGGGATGAACAGTGAACTGATGTGTCTGCAGATGTGCCAGAGCTACTCAGGATAGTCAAATCAAAACCTGTCTGTGAAGAGCTGCAGGAGGACCTCGTGCTATCAAGACAATGAGTGATAAATTAGCAGATAAAATAACCCCACTAATCTATATGCAAATAAATTTCTCCAAGTTAGCTGCTCTGTTTCATAAAGTCATCAAATGGTTTGGGTTGGAAGCGACCTTAAAGCTCCTCCAGCTCCAACCCCTGCCACGGGCAGGGACACCTTCCACTAGAGCACGTTGCTCCAAGCCCCTGTGTCCAACCTGGCCTTGAACACTGCCAGGGATGGGGCAGCCACAGCTTCTCTGGGCACCGTGTGCCAGCGCCTCAGCACCCTCACAGGGAAGAGCTTCTGCCTCAGAGCTCATCTCAATCTGGCATTATTTAGGACAAGACTCTAAGAACAGCCACCTCGTACTCACAGGAGCTTAGAAATAAACAAAACTGTGGAAACTGTTAAAAAAGGATTAAGAAACCAGAAAGCACATTACGCTGCACAACATACGTGTGCGTGGTGCTGCTCTGTCTTGAGTGTCACCTGCAGATCTTTCCAGCCCAGCTGGTAAAGCCACAGAGAAAGCAGCCAGAGAGATCTCAGGTGGGAACTAACTCCTGTGTGAGGAAAGGCCATGGGATTAGAGCTGCACTGTTTGTAAAGGACACGAGCAGTGTGTGACAGAGGCGTGGAAAACAGTGATGTAAGAGAATATGAACAGGGAGAGATAACATTTGGCAGGACACCAAATGAAATAGCCAGGAAGCAGGTTGAAATAAATGGACAGAAGACGAGGAAAAAGCCGCGGCATTTCACTGAAGCGGATGTAGAAACGCCTTTTGGCACCACGGAAGAGGGCTGATTTTAAAAAGCCTGTTTGCAGTCCTCCCTACACATCCATTGCTCCCCACAGCTGGAGGCTGGACAGATGGACATGGGTCTGAGGCACTGCAGCACTTCTCGTGTTGGGCCTTTCTCAGAGTTGTAGCCACCAGTTTTCTCTGGAGGTTGAAGAATAGAGAAAAAACCCAAACTGTCCCACAGGAGGATAGAAATAAACTCCTTTCTTCCCTTCAGAAAAGTGTGAAAGGAAGCATTTTATGTGCTAATATAATTTGTGGGGATGGCACAGATTCAGAAACATGCATCTAAATCCTCCCTTCAAAAGCTTGGGGATGCATTTAAGTTAGGAATCAAATTGGTGATGTCCCTTGGTATGAAGTTTGTGAAAGCAAAGACCTAAACGACAGGCTCTGCAGGTCTGGTTTTGCTTTGGACCTTCCCAGAGGAAGAACCAGGGAACAAGGAGGAGCCAGGGAGCAGAATGGAAATACTAGAGACACATTAGAGGCTTGTTTACACTTCAAAGCTGTTTTGGATAATGCAGGGTGTGAGCCAAAAGCACAAAACCTATTCCTATTTAAAATTATTCCAACATAGGAGTGCCCTGTTCTGCATCAGCATAATCCACATTTAAAATGGATTACGATAAAGGAGAGCAAGGTGCTTTTGTGCTACAATACAGGTTTTCCTACATGGAGTTATTTAGGATAACTATGCTGAAATAATTGCATTTGTAGACATCTTCTGGTGCGTGGTATCAGAGAAGAGCAAACTACGCTCCGATACGTGATGAAAGTGTTTGTGTGCACTATAATATAGAGGCGTGAAACAGAATTTCATAATGTAATCATATTATGGAAACCTGACTTGGTCAGGGCACTCTTTGAATATCAAGGAATTCTTAGACATAGCAGCAATGAGCAGTACAGACAAAGCATCAGGATATGCCTCCCATAATTACATGCCATGTCCATCAGGTGGAAAAATCCCTCCCTCCTCATTTTCCCCTTTGGATAACTCAAATCTTCTGAATGTTTTATGAGGAACAGTCTGGTGCCTGAGAGGCCGGGATGCCACCAATTACCTTCTAATTGGGAGGAAGCTTGATGATTTGGATTCACTTGTTGATTCTGTCACAGATGCTCGAGACTGAGGATGGATGTGTCATGTAGGATCAACCTTCTAAAAGCACCGAGACATCCACTCCCCCCAGACTTTGGGCACCTTCATTTCTGCAGGCTCAGAGAGGAGCACAGATTCCAGAGGTTGTGCCAGGCCAGCTCGTGTTTGTAATCATAGAATCATAGAATAGTTAGGGTTGGAAAGGACCTTAAGATCATCTAGTTCCAACCCCCCTGCCATGAGTAATGAGGCAGTGCTGGAGTTCCCTTCCCAGCTCACTGTCAAACAAGGTCATCCCCTGATGTGTTCTTTGCCTTTCCATCCTAAGAGATAAATAAAAGGCATTTTACACAATTCAGGACTCAACCCTGGCATAAATTCCCACACTGATTGCAAATCTTGTCGTGGGAAAATACATGGGATTGTGTCAAAGAGTAAAAATAGATTCAGGCTCATGGTTTCTACGCTTGTTATAGAACACTCTGGAATTTCAATCCTAAAGGGGAATTGAGAGAAAAATAATCTTTTTTGAATTAATTTTCAATGAATGACAAGCCCAAGGAAACCACATGGCAATCCTCGACAAGTGAAAAAGAACATTAACAAAAACTCTTAATTCCCTGCAGTCAGCTATCCCAAGGGTAAACTGAGGTTAACGCTGAACTGTGACTCTATGCTATATCATTTATGTAAACAAGCAGAGGTTGGGTTGGCATTCTGCATGGCTTTGGATAGCCTAAATAACTACCTTTAAGCAGGCAGCCTTAAAAGCAACAGGGTAATAATAGCTCTCCCTACTAAAACAACACAATAAACAGACTTTGCTGACCTGTAGTTAATGCATTCTTTCATATATGAGAGAGTCCATTAAATTCCAAGCTTTACATACAGGATCCAAGGAGCCGCATCGTCAGGGAGCAAGGGAAGATTTTCCTGTCAGCACAACTGAACGAAAACACCAAAACCGGAAACATTTTCAAATCAGGTTTCAAAACAAACATTACTTGCAAGGCTGACAGAGTATTTGCTTCAGAGAGTATTGGTGTAGCAGCCTAGACAGACAGCACAGTGTCCTGGGCAGCATGCGACTAGAGCCTGAATTACCCTAACAGACTTCAGCCTAAACCCACTCATTACACAGAATCGAAACATGTTGAGCTGGAAGGTATCATTTTGGTCTTCCTGCCTTGTCCTCCTTCATATGGCAAAGGATTCCCACTGTGGCCGTCTGATCAGCACTGTATTTTCAGCACAAATAGCAATAATAATTCCAGACATCGAACATACACCCAAGTTCTGACCCCATAATCGCAGTGCTGAAGCATCCCAGAAACCTCTCTGAGGCAGGTAGGCAGCAAAAATTATGCCAGCATTATTCTGGATGGCTCCTTTTTATGTTTTCATCCTGACACCTTCAGATGCTTCTCATCTGACTCTTTTCATCACAGAAAAGGCTACAATTATACCCTGAAATTCAGAAATATTTCCCATAAGGATAACTTCATTTTAGTAGCAAATGTTATAGCCAAAGATCTGTTAAATGGAGACAACTCAGCTTTTTTGGGGGTGTGAAATGAG